ATCGACAACGTCCGAAAGGACAGTCCTAGCCATAACAGAGACCCTACGCAGTGCAAATATCATGACTCTATCTCTGTATACTGGCCATGTCCAGCATGTCAGAGGGATCTTACGAGAAGCAAGGGTGTTAAGAATCACCTTGATACCGAACCTGGTAAATGTCGTTTTGCTGAACCATTTAAACTACCAGACGACCGCGACCCCGAAGGCAAAACCGTGCCAGCTTGGTGGAAACCCCTACCTAAACCTGGTGAGGGCCAAGCTTCAGCTTCAGGTGGCCGCCAAGGCGCACACGCCAGGCCACCACGACCACGTTCCTTCGGTAACGTCGATCCGACATCTGGTACCAGCAGCTACGACCTGCTACGAGACGCCCCCGAGCGTGGAAACACGCCTTCTGCGTCTTCTAGCGATACGCCACAGGTAGCGGCCCGCCGCGGACGTCTACAAGGCGTACCACCACCTCCAGACGCAGTCAACACAGGGGATCAACTACGTAGAGCTACAAGGAACCCTCTTGCCTCCACCGGCTCTGGGGCTCCACGACTACCCGACTGGACGAGATTTGACATCCAACACAGTCTACAGAGTCTCCGTAGTCACGAACCCCATGTTGTGAAAAAGGAACTCCGAAAACTGCATCTGCGATGGTATCATGCGAAGGAGCCAAAGATGAGGCTAATCCTCGAAAAGGTGGGGCTTGATAATGTTCGACTGAACATGATCAAGGAAATCTGCGATACCTGTCGGGAATGTAGAGCATGGGAACGTCCAGGAAACTCGACATTACCATCGGTAAGCCTCCCTGGTAACTGGCTCGATGAAGGGGAAATGGACCTCATGTTTTACAAGAAACGGACCATTTTCATATTATGGACCGTTGTATTCGCCTGGCAGCAGGCCTAGAGATTTCCGACAGAGAACGCGACACTATCATCGACGCCTACCACTATTGCTGGATTGCCTATCACGGACCCTTCAAAGTTTTATACTCAGACGGAGAAGGCGCCCTGAATAACGATGCCGCTAAAACCATGATGGCCAATAAGGGCACGGAACTTCGTATCCGTGCTCCTGGCCAACACGCGACTTCAATTGAGTCACGAAACGGCATTCTCAGAGGCGTCCTCCACATGATTGAGGAAGAATTGAATAGACACAACATCCCTGTTGTATTCACTAGAGTATTGGCGGAAGGCATCTTCGTTACTAATGCGTTTACGTTTTATAACGGAGTATCGCCATATCAGGCACACACAGGACGTCAGCCCTCCTTCCTTCCTGATCTCGATACCCTTGACTTTCCCAAGGGACCCGAGACTTCAGGACACGAACGAGAACGTCGTGTAAGGGAAGTCAGCCTCGAAGCCATAACTCAGGCTACTGCTGTAGCCAAGACAAATCGGGCTCTTAGGGCTAAGACGACTCCTGATGGTGCTCGCCTCTACTCATCAGGGGATTTGGTCGACTACCACCGACCTACTGCCACCAAGGACGACCATGGAGGCTGGAACGGCCCATTCCCGGTGATCCGAAACGTGCCTGAAAGAGGACATATTGTTGTCAAGGCAGGATCTCGTGAGGTAATTGTGATGTATCCTGATGCTCGTCACACACTATACATCGAATGTCTCCTCACACGGGAACTTGGCATGGATAATATGGCCATGCAAACCGTCCTTGCTTATGTGGCACACCTCAGCGCAGGGAAACCTGCCAAAGTTTTCGGGTATATCCCCGATTACAAGGGAAACCTTAATCTGTCAGACGACAGCAAGTTTCACCCGCGCGTACACTTAGCACTACAGTATCTCGTACGAAATTACTTCCGAGTAGAACATGTAGTAGCAGTTCGATTGGCTAAGAGTGTGTCAAGCCTACCTGCAGTAAAGTACGCCACCGGGTCTACGCTGATCCACTATGACAACGACATCAGCCCGGCGTTCCACTATTACGAATGCGTGGGCACTGGCTTAAACATTTCTCAGATCACTGGTAGCACTCACTCCAGACTTATTCAATGCTTGACTTCACGTGTCCCTTCCTTAGGATTTCACGACGATTTGGCTAAATATCAGCATCCAAGCAACACGTCTGGAGAACACGAGTCGCCTGGAAACAGGCCTTCTCCAGACACACCAGACGCTTCATCGCCGAGCGAAGGCCGTCTGTCGACAATCTATGAGGAAAATGAGGAACACAATATTGAAGCTATGATGCTGGAAGAGTGGTACGACGAGCTACGTATGGACCTTCATCCTACGACGATTACCGATGATTATCTCTATTGCGTCCCAACAACTATGCTGCCCGACCAGTGTGTTTTGGTTTCAGCATTTGTGGACGAAGATGATATTATATCATCAGATATGCTCGGAGACGAGCCGAAATCATGTGAGTCCTGTCTAGTCTCTCTTTGTTCAAACACAGCCGACGAGAGCTACTCTCTAGACAGTGATGAATACGGTCCTTACGTTGAACTATGCTTTACATCAGAAATGTCTAAAATAGTGTTGGATCAGACTCAACTTGCACAGCTCGATACCGATATGGTCGCAACGATGAGAGTATATGTATCCTCTGCTGCTAAACGTGCTGTGGTTGTCAAAGAAGATGATCTACTAACCAAAGCCGACATAGCAGCACATCCAAAGGAGGTTAGTGAAGCCTTATATACTGAGCTCAAAATCTGGATTGATAATCGATGCTTTGAGATGTACGATTTATCCAAAGCTTCCAACATCATGACGTCCAGATATGTATACAAGTGGAAGTTCGTAAAGATGGGTACCGAGAACGTTAAAACCATTCGTCTCAGACTGGTCCTTCGTGGATTTATGGATACTGAGGCTTTTGATGTGGAAACATTCTCGGGAACCGCCCGAAGGCAGTCCCAACGACTCCTGGCAAGTGAAGCGGCATGCCATCCAGAGTGGATCTTAGCATCCATGGATATCGATAAGGCGTTCCTCAAGGGTTTGACCTATGAGGAACTTGCCCATGCCACCGGCGAGGAAACTCGCATGGTTTGCTTTACTCTTCCACCAGGAAGCGCTCAGGTACTTCGTACATTACCCGGCTTCTCATCCTACGACGAAAGTCGACGCTGTCTTAGATGCCTTAAACCAGGAACGGGTACTAAGGACGCTCCAAGAGCGTTCTCTCTCAAACTTCGCACGACCACACGAGCTATAGGACTTACACCGACCAGCTACGATCCTGAATTTGAATTCAGCCAAGACCTTCTGACGGCAAAACATGTCGATGATATTAATATGACCGGTCTAGAGAAAAATATAGACGACGATGTACAACGTGTCGAAAAGGGGTTTGGCAAATGCAAGCTCAACAAGCACACATATACGAACTGCGCCGTTCGCTACACTAAGAATGATCAGGGGGATGTGATCATGGACCAGGACGAGTACATTAAACAACTACGTCCTATCACACACCCAGAACTTACAGGAGCGGCGGCCGACGCCAAAGCCACGAAACTCATTACCGACATGTGCGTCAGCCTGCGAGGAGCCCTCGCCTATGCCCTTCTTACCCAAATCTGGCTCATGGTATATGTGGTCTCTCTTCAGAAAATTCAAGAGCCCACCAATTTGCAAGTCAGACGTTTGAATGCTGTGACGCGAAAGCTGATCAGCAGCCCGAAACGTATCACCTTCCCTCGGATGAAGCCGACGAATGAAGTTGACATCCATAGCGATTCGGGGTATCGGAAGCTTACCGGGGAGGAGGATGACGAGACCAAGGGCTACGGCATACGCGGGGCCAACGTACTACGGCGAGGAAACTCGCCTCAAGGCAAGTCCGTCGTTCACCTCTGTGACGGACTATGCAAATCACACCGATTACAGGTGAGGTCCAGTTATGCTGCGGAGGCACTTGCAGCCGCACATAACCTTGATGAGTGTTACCCTACGCTCATTACTCTCCACGAGCTTAAGGCAGGGGCTTTGACTCCACGACAACTACGAGACATGCGTGAAGTTGGAGGCCTTGCTATCAAAGTCTCTCTTACCATAGACGCTGAGTCCGTCTACAAATCTTTATCAAGCAGGGATCTCAAAATACCTACAGAACGGACTCTGCTTGGACATATCAGCTGGATACGTGAGCTCATGGATATAGGTATAGTACATAATGTGCAATGGTGTGATACTAGGGATATGACCGCAGATGGGCATACAAAGGGAAGCATCGATCGGGAGCTGCTTCTGGAAGTGATGTCAGGCACTCAGTCATTTAAGTATGACGTGAAGCAATTTGTTCCCTTTCGGGGTCCCGAGGACAGAGACAAACCCAAGTCTAATCAATTTTAGTCTGTCCTTGTTGCCCTCGCGGTCCAGTTTGCCAGCACGGGCGCCTACTATAAAGGCGCCCCTTTAGCTGCTCGGAAACGAGCCTTATATTTCACGCCTGGCAACGAGCCGGCTTCGTACAACTCAGGCTCTTTGCCTTAATACACATTTGCTTGGTGAGGTATGGCCTAATTTTGGCTTACCTCTAACTAAGCCGATAGCCCTTCATTGTTTGAAGGGGCTGTCCTGTATTTGCGTGAAATACTTTGCGAGGAAACTCGCCTTACAGTCTGGTGTTTGACCAGACTGTACGCACTGTTTTCTTTTCTTTGCAAACAGTCGTGCGCGCGATCTTTGCGTGCGACTATGCTCTCCGTCTCCTCCCCTCCCGACTTTAAGGGTAACTCTTTGGGAGATGTTACAGCATCGGGAGCATAGCTCGCGCGCCGCTGCCTTTGGCTCAAGGCGCGCGCGCCCTATTTGCCCGGACACTGCTTGTGTTCGCTATGTGCTGGAAAGATCATTACATCGATCTTATCCTATCTTACCCATCCACCCCTCATACTGTACCCTCACAGCAGAGCGATGGATGCTATTTGCCAGGCTATATGCCCTATTTGAGTTACCAGGCTCACTTTCGACTGAATGGCTGCTCGGCCCCCTCGGTCTATCTTTGTTCCCCCGAAGGTCGGCCAGAAGCGCTCCACCGTCGCCCAGCTCTTCGAGATCCTGCGCAAGAACGACTGCCTGAAGTACACCACCATCGTGGCGGCCACCGCCTCGGACGCCGCGCCGCTGCAGTTCCTCGCCCCCTACACGGGCTGCGCCATGGCGGAGTACTTCCGCGACACCGGCCTGTGAAGGGCAGAACATGGCACACTAGACATGCACCCAGACATCCAGCACACATCGAGAATCAAGACGAAGAGGCTCTGCTACGCTTTCGGCCTCCGGGGGCCCTCGCCGCGCCCCGGGACAGCCGAAAAACGACTCGCGGCGAAAAACCATCCCTGGTGAAAGGGCCGGGGCGCCTGTGGACCCTGGATGGACAACATCAAGGCATCGGATGCGAGGACAGCACAAGCCACCCCCACCCCCACCAGCACCCCTATTCCCAACTTGGTGATCGAGGCCCAGACATGCGACGTCCTGATTTTTTCAGGACGGGGTCCCTGGAAGTCCCGACCTGTTCCCCAGGACCGGTTTATCCCGAGGCCGGGCGAGGGCCCCCCGAGGCCGAAATTGGCCAAAAATGTCCCGTCCTGATTTTGTTACGACGCGATCGTGTCTTGGCGGGGTCTTCGCTTGGGGGGTGGGGGGGGATTCTCCAGCCCGCAACCATTCGGATCCCCCAGCCGCAACCACTCGGATCACCAGGCCGAGCGAAGGGATCCCAGCGGGGGTGGGGGCGGGCTCTGCTGTCCTCAGGATGTCTGGGAACGTTCGGGAGTGTCCGCAAGGACCTCTCTTGGGTCGGCGTTGCAGCGCCCCCCCCCCTCTCGGGGGCGCGCAAACATGGATTAGCGATCCATGGATTTGGCGCGCGGTCGCTCCTACTCTCCGTTCTCCTCCTCTCCCTCCATCTCCTCCTCCTCCTCATCATCATCTTCCTTCTCCTCCTCCTCCTCCTCCTCCTCCTCCTCATCTTCCTTCTCCTCCTCCTCCTCCTCCTCCTCCTCCTCCTCCTCCTCCTCCTCCTCCCTCCTCCTCCCTCCTCCCTCCTCCTCATCCATGGATCGGGGGAGGTGCCCTCCCCAAAATGCAGCCGGTGCCGTCTGGCGCCGGAAAGCTTCGATTTCTGATGGAAGCGGGACCCGCCGCTAATCCACGCCCCCTTGATCCATGTTTGCGATCGCCCGACCCTCGCCACATCCCTGGCGGCTTCCCCCGACGTAGCCCTCGGCGCGCCCCCGGCGCGCCAGGGCAGGGGCGTGGGGAGGGGGGCCTGGCGCCGCCCCAGGAGATCCGCGCGGACCCCCGACGGTTTCTGCTCCTGCAGTTGCTCCGGCTGCACGTGAGAGCACCGTGAGAGTGTACAGTGGGGGCCCATGCCAAGAAACACCCTGCTTGCCTCCAGGGTGCCCTGGGCTTCTTGGGTTTCGATTGTTTTGCGATGGAGAGCGTGAGATTCCCACACCAAAAATCAACGGGCGTCCTGATGTCTCAGGGTTGGGTTTCTTGTGGAAGGTTTCTGGTGGACTGGCCTCCACTGCAGCCGATTGCCCTGCATTTTCCAGGCAAGCACGCCGTGATCTTCTACGACGACCTCTCCAAGCAGGCCGTGGCCTACCGGCAGATGTCCCTCCTGCTCCGCCGCCCGCCCGGCCGCGAGGCCTACCCGGGCGACGTGTTCTACCTCCACTCCCGCCTGCTCGAGCGCGCGGCCAAGATGAACGAGGATCGAAAAAGAAAATTTGCATTTAGGTCGGGCGTGTCCCTCTGCAGGAGGGATCTGCAAAAATACTCAGGGGACGAGTTTTCTATCATTTTCGACCCGTATGGTGTATTTGTTTCGGCTATGTTTCATTTTTCCTCCAAAATCCGCCTGTAGGGGACGCGCCGACCTAAAACTATATTCACATAAACTGTTGGAGCTCCGCGCAGATTCTTGGATCGGCGCCAGGACCCCCCTTGGCGGCGCCTCCGGCGCCGCCCCTGGCGCGCTCCGCGCGCCAGGGAGGAGGGTCCAGCACAGTTCTAAGAACGATCCGCACGGACCGTCGAAAGTGTATATTTATGCAGCTTGTTTCCTCTGAAGGAGACGATGGGTGGGCTGGGCACTTCGCAAACTTCCTTCTCGTCCTCCGCTTTCTCGTCCGCTCCCCTCTTCCTCATCTCTCTCCGCGTTCACTGCTTTCTTCTCCAGTCTTTTTCCTTATAAATTCGCCGGCCCAACGGGCCAGGGCGTGCTAAGATCTCCGGTAACTGGTTAACAGTATTAACAGTATTTCTAGTTCGCGCGCGCGGGGCGGCCCCTGGGGGTCCCCCGGCGAAAAGTACCCCGACCAACGCCCGGTCGCCGCCCGACCGCCGCCCGACCGCCGCCCGACCAAGTCTACTCAGAGATGGTTTTCCTTCTGGGTGCGGCCTCTCAGGCTCCCCAGAGCGCGCTCAGAGTGCCCCAAGAGGCCCCCAAGACTGCCCAAGAGGCCCCCGAGACGCCCAAAGAGCGCTCGAAGACGCCGAAGATGACCCCAAGACGGCCCAAAAGGCCCCCAAGACAGCCCAAGAGGCCTCCAAGACGCCCCAAGAGCCTTCCAAGAGGCCTCCGAAGAGAGCCCCAAGAGGCCAAAATCGTTGATTTTCATTGTTTTTTTTCGATGTTTTTTGTGTTCTGTTTTTTTCGGCTTCCGGACGCTCCAAGACGGCCCAAGAGGCCCCCAAGACCGCTCCAAGACGGCCCACGAAGCTCCCAAGACGGCGCCGAAACGACCCAAGAGAGCCCTCAAGACGGCCCAAGTGCCGCCCAAGACGGACCAAGAGGCCCCAAGACGGGCCCAAGAGGGACTCAGGAGGGATACCGAGAACTCAAAAATGGAGCCCTCCGTCCCAGAAGGCGCCCAGGAGGTCCCAAAGAGGCCCCAAGAGGCCTCCAAGAGGCCCCAAGATGTCGCCAAGAGGCCCCAGGAGACTCCCAGGAGGCCCAAAAGAAGCCCCAGAAGGCTTCAAACATGTCTCCCAGGCGCCCCCGAACGGCCTCTCAACAGACCCCAAGAGGCCCCCCAAAGAAGCATCTTGACGACGACTCTATTTCGCCCCATCGAGAGACGACCCCCAGGGAACTGCTTCACCATCAAAACTCCCCACGCAACGCGTCCGAACGACACCCGCCCCCAAGAGCGCAACATGGGCAACGAACACACAGACAAAAACCAGCGATGCCATATCACGGGCCGGCGGAATGAGCGAAGCGATTCAATAACTCCTCTCTGTCGCATCCCCAGTCGTCTCGGTAGGGCGGGCCAGGCGTTTCGCATGAGACTGTCCCACTATTCGTGATCTTGAAATGTCAAAGTAACAGCAGCTTCACGGATGGAGGGCGGGCCGCTTTCTGAATGTGGTTCTCGTCTTAGCGTTGCGTACATTCGTTTTGAAAGTGCACAACAGTTTCAAGATGGAGGGTGGGCCGTTTTCAAAGTGCCGTTCTCGTTGAAGCTCTGCGCACATTCGTTTGAAGCGTGCAGCAGGTTCACGGATGGAGGGCGCTCCCTTTTCATAATGTGGTTATCGATGTAGCGCCGCGCACTTTTTCGGAAAGCTTGCAACAGCTTCGAGGATGGAGGGTGGCTCTTTCTCAACATGTGGCTTTCGATTTAGCGCCGCGCACATTCGTCTTGAAAGAGTGCAATAGTTTCATGTATTCGCGTGGCTGGAGTCCCAGGAATGGTGCTATGGCACGGTTCAGGATCCTCAGGACGCAAGAGTCACGCTGATTTGCGGCATTGAAGTCCGAGGACTGGTGCTTTTGCACAACTTAGGTTTGTCAGGACGCAACAGTCACGTGGATTCGCGGCGCCTGAGCCCCAGGAATTGTGCTTTGGCACGATTGATGGTTCTCGGACGGTTGTCCTCCAATGGGGCATTTTCCGCAATGAAAATACATTCGCGTACGGCCGTATGAAGAGGCTCTGGGAATTTAGAGGAAGGGTTCATTGCAATATCGTTGGTACGTCTTGGGTTTACAACGGTCCTCCTTCTTCTCCTCCTCCTCCTCCTCCTCCTTCCGCGGACTGGCGATAGAGCCACTCAGCGTTGCTGGGGAAGAGATGGGTGAAGAAGAGAAGGATGAGGGGGAGGTGAAGGCGGAGGGGGAGGAGGATAAAAGAGAAACAGGGCGAATGTTTCGAGCTCATGGCCTCTTCCTCAAAAGCAGAGAGATGCGGCAGGGGTGACAAAACTTGTCGAGGTAGCGCAATGACAAGGATGACAGTTGAATAGGGGTTTGGGGGTACGTGTCGCACGTCTTGAAATTCATCCGCGGGCGAGAATGCAGGTGGTTGCAAAGCTAGCAGCGATTTCAGTTGCAGGCGGGGCGATAACGAGTCTCTCGCGCTCACGTATTACATCAATGACATTGCTGTCGTCTGATTTCTTTTGATACTCGAATCATGCAGCGGTCTGCCGGTGGTCTTTGCCGATGAGACATGATTCCCCAATCATTGCTTGCACTGAGAGGGTTCCTAGCGGAGGTTGAAAGATTTGGCGAAAGCGGCTGGCCGATTTCGGTAGGCGGCCGGGTTCCCGGGTTCCCGTTTCCGGGTGCCCGGGTTCCAGTTGTTGGTTCCGGACCGACTTCGGTGGGCGGCGGGATTCCCGGGGTTTCCAGTTTCGGGTTCCCGGTTTTCGGTCGATCTCTCGATCGATGTCATTATCAATCTCACCATCCATCTCATTCAATCGTTCGCACTATGATCTCACGACTGGTCTCATTTCATTGATCTCACTATCGATCGAACCATCGATCTCACGCAATCGATCTTATTACCGATCTCACTCAATCGATCCCACTATCGATCTCACTACCGATCTCATTACCGATTCGATCTGATTCAATCGATCTGACCCTCGATATCACTATCGATTTCACTATCGGTCTCACTATCGGCCACACTATCGATGTCATTACCGAATTCACGCCATCGGCCTCACTATCGGCCTCCTGATCGATCTCACGATCGATTTCACTA